CCCGGCCCCCACCGCAGGGCTGGCGTCGGGGAGGGGGCGGGCGAGGGCCACTCAGAGTTTCCAGCGACATTTCCAGAGTGTGGGAAGCGAGGGACTGCGCGGCGGGCCAGGACCGAGGGCAGGCATGACTAGCCAGAGCGGGGGGCGCAGAGGCCGGGTGGAGCCCCCGCCCCGGGAGGCGGGTGCCGGGCGAGATCAGGGCGGCCCACAGGCGTGAAGGCCTGCCGCCTCCCGGGCTCTTGGGGAGCTGTGCTTGCGCAAGGGCGCGCTGGGCGTGTGCAGACGACACACGCGCGCGCGTGCACTGGCAAACGTGCAGATGCTCACGCGCGAGCGCGGGAGGAAACCGGCGCAAGGGAGCGGCCCCCGAGTGGTCCGCGCCTCTAACCGAGGATCAGGGCGGCGTCGGCGGGAATGGGGTTAGGAGGGCCTTGGTGTTCCCATGGTGTGTTTGTTTTGCTGTGCCTGCGTTTCCACTGTCCCCGCTGCTCTGAGCCTCCTGGGAGCCCTCACCCCCTGGCTCTCCGGTCGCCGTAGTCGCCCCCTTTCCTCTTCCCCAAGCCCTGAGTTGGCGCAGGGCCTGTTCTAGGAGGCCAGGCGCTTAAAGAACGCTTAAGAATGTAAAGAATGGCAGGGGAACTGGAGTCCTGGGCGCCGCGGAACCGACCACAGGAGTGGGGCCAACCTGCGAGTGTTGGGACTGATGAAAAACTCATCAGAACCTGTGGGGCCAGCGGGTGGCATAGTGGTTGCAGGGCTGGACTCCCACAGGGTGGGCTGCGGTTGGAGTCTCGGGTCTAGTGACTTGGAACTCATGCCGGGTGGCGTGTTGGCGTGTTCCAGCCTGCCCAGAATCCAGAGAGGAGAATTAAGGGATTGGGGCATGGGCATCCCACCTGGAGAGTGATTTCTCACTTTGTCTCTATGTCTCTCCTTGTCTCTGGTGAGCGCAAATGCCTCATAGCAAAAATCTCTCTTTAAAAGGAAGAAATGGGGACCAGCAGATGGCATGGTGGTTAAGGCGCTGGACACTCCCACATGGCTAACCATGGTTCAAGTCCTGGACCTGGTGGCTTGCTTTCTCACTTTCCTCTCTCTCTCTGTGTCTCTCTCTGGTCAAATTAAAATGAATAAATAAACAATAAATCTTTTTAAAAAAGAAGAAGAAATGATGGAAACAGGACGTTTAGGGGCCCACAATGGTGTAGTTGTTACTTCGCTGTACTCCCACGAGGCCGCCCGCCGTTCGAGTTCTGGATCTGGCGGCTGCAAAATCACACCCGGCGTGTGTGCACGTGTGCCCAAGATCCCAGGAGGAGAGTGGAGGGGAAGGGATCGCAGCACGGCCGCTTTCCCTCTCACTGTCTCTGCCCCTGCCCCCCTCTCCCAGTGCGTGTGCCCTAAGGCAAAAACCTCTAAAGAAAGGAAGGAAGATCAAGAAAGAAAGGAAAGAGAAGAAAGGAAGAAAGAAAGAGAATGAAAGAAAGAGAGAAAGAGAACTTAGGACATTTATTGTCTACCTACTGGGTATCAGAGTGGTGGCTGAGGTCACCGTGTGCTTTGGGGGTTTTTCCAAGGACACCCACTCGAGTTGAGAAGAGAGTGCAGAAGAAATGAAGCCATTTCAGCCCTGGCCACCATCACTGCTGTTGGCTTTATCTTGCCTCAGTTTGGGTACAAGAGCCCTGGGAGACCTGGCCGCGCTGAGCAGAGCTGAGTGCTGGTGGCTGGCAGCTGGCTGCCATGCCCTGGCAGAAGCGGGCCTCTGGGGGGCGACACAGCAGCTGGAAATGACCGCAGGGCCTGCAGGCCCACAGCCACGGGGTGTATCTGCACAGGCCACGAGTGCACTGGGCAGGGAGCTGGACGGCATGACCTCTACGGTCCCTTCCAGAAATCTGCCTGTCCAAGAAAGCCGCAGGGTGGGAGGAGGGGCAAGGCTCCACCCATGGAGGACACCGCAGGGTTGAGGGGCACGCCACAGGGTGTGGAATCGCCAGAGAGACAGAGAGAGGAAAGGCGAGAACTCGCCCCCCTGGGGGAATGGCCACACTGCAACCCCTTTGCCTCCATTCACCTCTCAGGATTTGGGGCACACACACAACTGCACCTGGCATGTCTTTCAGGCCGCCGGGTCAGGGACTCAAACTGCAGAGTCGGCCATGTGGGATCTAGCACCGTAACCACCGTGCCACCTGCTGACCCAACGCTGAGCTCTTTCTTACCATCCTCATCCCTCCCTCAGGGATAACGCAAATGCCCATCACCCTGTCACCAGTTTTTCCCACCTGTCAGGCTCCTTGGGACTAAGAAGGACCACATCATTTTCGTTTTCTTCCTTATTCTCCAAAGACGGTGACGCTGAAGGTGGTCCAGCTCCAGGGATCCTGGCCATGCCCTCTCACCAGCAGCGAGCTTCTCACTCTCGAGGGCTCTGACCTGGACTCCGAGATAAATATTTAATGTAGGGGTACAGCCGAGCGAAGAGGTCCCCGCTTCCTGTCCCTCACCCAGCTGGGCCCGGCTACCTGCCGTCTCTGTGGATGGGAGCTCAGCAGCAGCTTGGAGGAGAAGGAAGAGGGGCGGGGGGGAAGGTCGCGCTGCAGCCCCAGCCTTCCCCAGAGCTGACTTAACTCTGCCCGGGCTCCCAGATCAGAACCGCCCAGCCTCTGCGGCGGGAGGGAGCTGCGGGGTTGTGGGGCAGGGGGAGCGTGAGGACCCTTGCCTGACTGGTCCTGCTCCGCTCACACTGTAAATTCCTTCTCTGAAAAGTGGATTAAAGGGAGAAGGCCATGAGGCTCAGAGTCGGCCAAGAGCCAGGTGTCTGTTTCCCAGTCCCTCCCGGCAGCCTCAGCGGGCCGCCCTGGCCTGTCGTCAAAACTGGGGAAGGCCGAGGGGGGCCGGCCTGGTAACAGCCTTCGAGGACACCTCACAGATCTCAGCACTCCGAGGCGTCTCTCCTCTCTAAGGGGCCCTCCCGGGAGGCTGCAGCTGGCCCACCTCTGGCACCACCTTCTGTCCGTCTGGTGGCTGCACTGCCTTCCCAGAGCCGCCCAGCCGCCAGGCCACGGTAAACACGCTTACATAACGGCTGGTTGCCCCGCCATCCCCTC